TTCATGTTTCTTAATTTTATTTATATATTTATTTTATCTTTAATTTTTATTTTTTCGGAGCTGAATTTTTAACATGAAAACCGGAAGTTGGATAATTTCCGTGATTTTCCTGCTGTCTCCGTGTGTTTGTGGCATCGACCCTGCACAGGTACCGGTTGTTATCTGATAATTAGCACATTATAAACACACTCGGTGCCGCTTCACACAACAGGTGAAAACGATGAAGTTATTACTGTAAATGTAGCGTTTGAGCTCGATATCAGGAAGTCCAGTAAATGTCAATTACATAACAGTGTGTAAAAGTCTTCAGCACGTCAACTACTCTGAAACTTATTATCATATGAGAAGATAAAAAACAAAAGGGAATAAGAGAAAGTCAGTGACTCTACAGCTAATATTAGTGTCATTATGTGATGTGTAAACACTGCAAAACAATTTAATCCAAGCATTTAAACCAATTAATTATAAAAACTCTTTTTATTCTCATTATTTTCTTTTTTATTCATGTTTTATCAAGTCTTTGTGTCCATTTTTTTTGCAATGAAGTGACTCAAAGCTTTTGATGAGCACTGCTTGCTCACCAGACTGTCTTGTGATTTTCTGATGAAGCTCATAGCAAACATGCTCAAACTGGTTTAGTAAAAGATGTACCTTACCCTTTGTTGTCTTGCCGCCTCACTTTTTAATTTGTCTTCCGTGGCTCAGATTAACCCTCTGGTTTACGAGGAGAAGCTGCTGTGGGTGAGCGGAGTCCAGGGCCAAGTCAGCGCCTACAGGATCCCCCTCATCACCTTCACCCCTAAAGGGAGCCTGCTGGCCTTCAGCGAGGCCAGGAAGTTGTCGTCCAATGACGTCGGAGCGAAGTTCATCGCGTTGAGACGCTCCACGAACAAAGGCAGGACCACCGTCAACATTGGTTTTATGTTTCGACTTTTGGCTCGTTAGTTTCTCCTGAGCCAMCTTTGTCTTCTTTCCACACACCTGCTCCTCGTTTGGTAATCATTRGGATAAGTTACATGTATTAATTAAGTATTGATTTAATTTTTGTCGTCCCTCCAGGAAACACCTGGTCTCCGACCGCCTTCATAGTGGACGATGAGTACCGTGCGGACGGCCTGAACCTGGGCTCGGTGGTGGTGGACGAGGAAACCGGCTCCATCATCCTGATCTACTCCCTCTGCTTCCACCTGTACCACTGCAGCCCGGCCAGCACCATGATGGTGGAGAGCGTGGACGACGGCCTGAGCTGGAGCGTTCCCAGAAACCTCTCGGTCCAGCTGGGAACTAAAGCTTTCCTGGCCGGGCCGGGCTTCGGCATCCAGGTGAGGGACTGATTAAAAAAGCTTTTTTTTTTTTTTTTTTTGTAATCGACGCAATGGTTTAGCTTTAGAAAACAAGTCGAATTTGCTATAAATTTATAATTTGATTGTGTTTTTTTAAAGAAACACCTCCAACCAGCAAAGGGGAGGCTGGTGGTCTGTGGCCACGGGACGATCGAGGGAGACGGCGTTTTCTGCATCCTGAGCGACGACCACGGTAAGAGCTGGTACAACGGAGCGGCGCTGAAGAGCATCCCTTACAACCAGCCGAAGAAACCTCTGGACTTCAACCCTGATGAGTGCCAGGTACGCTGCTATTTTAGCCATTTTTATGTTAAAACATTCATCTTCTCCAGACGGCTGCAGTAACTTCTGCAACATTTTATCACTTTCAAAATATTGAATCTACAAATATTTTCCCCTTACATTGTTTTCTTGTCATTCGTAATGCTACTTTTAGCATACAGCTAGTATTTTAGCTAATTTTAGCCATTTGCTGGCTTTTGTTCCTTTTTACTTTAGCTACTGTTCTGCTACTTTTAGCAGTCAACTATCATTTTGTTATTTGAAAAGTTTTAGCCAGCCATTAGATAGCATTTTGCTACTTTAAATTTTTAGTTAAGCTTCTTTTGCTACTTTTGTATTTTAGCAAGCATTTTAATAATTTTAGCTTTTTGCTTGATTTTGTTTCTTTAAACTTTTGGCTAACATTTTGAAACTTTCCAATAGCTTTTTGATACTTTTAGCTTTTAGTTAGTCTTTTTGTTACTTTTACTTTCTATCTTTTTACTGCTTTTAGCTTTTTGCTAGCCTTTTGTTACTTTGAACTTATAGATAAGTTATTTTTATATAATTTCACATTTTAGTTAGCTGTATTTTAGTTTTGGCTTTTAGCTAGTCTTTTGTGACTGCACTTCTAGATAGACTTTTGCTACTTTTAGATTTTAGCTAGCATTTTAATTATTTTAGCCTTTAGTTAGATTTTTGTTTCTTTAAAATTTTGGCTAAACRTTTTAAACTTTTCTACAGGATTTGCTACTTTTAGCTTTTATAGCCTTTAGTTAGCCTTTTGTTAGTTTTTGGCTTAGCTAGTCTTTTGCTACTTAGTGCTTCTAGATAGCCTTTTGCTATTATTAGATTTTAGCTAGCATTTAAATTATTTTAGCATTTAGTTAGATGTTTGTTTCTTTAAACTTTTGGCTAAATTTTTTAAACTTTTCTATAGGTTTTGCTACTTYTAGCTTTTAGTTAACCTTTTGTTAGTTTTTGACTTTTAGCTAGTCTTTTGCTACTTTGTGCTTCTAGATAGCCTTTTGCTAATTTTAGATTTTAGCTAGCTTTTAATACTTTTAGCCTGTAGCTAGACTTGTGTTTCTTTTATCTTTCAGCTAGCCTTTTGGTACTTTTTGGCTTTTGTCCTGATGCATCTCAGTAATCCAGGTAAAAAATCAAAAAGAAAAAAATTGAATAGGTCCTCTGGACGGGTTCTTCTYTAATGAAACGTTTCGTCTCTCCTCCAAGAGACTTCTTCAGTCTGAGAGTTTCAGGCAAAATTCAGGCTTTTAAGCCCTGCCTCCATGTGACTGATACTCACATCACATGGCTATCATTGACACCTAATTAACACTTATTGTTAACAGGGGGTGGAGTGATACTGGCAATGGCCGCGCTGTAGGAGGGGGACAGCTGAAAACGGAGGCCTCCACCTCTGTTTGTGCAGAAAGACMGTCCAGAAGACCTACACAATTTTTTTCTTTTTGTTTTTTATTTAGCCTTTTGCTACTTTGAGCTTCTTAACTTTTTAATACTTTTCTAGCATTTTGCTCCTTTTAGCCTTTAGCTTGTGTTCTGCTTTTATCTTTAGCTCAGTTCCAGCATCACTCTGTGTTTTTACAGACAATGTTTCTCTGTATTTGATTATCAGCTCAGCAGTCAGACTCTCTTTCTTCTCCTTTAGCCGGTAGAGTTGCCGGACGGCAGCATCCTGATCAATGTGCGGAACCAGAACAACTACCACTGTCGCTGTCGCATCGTGAGCCGCAGCCTGGACGGAGGCCTGACCCTCCCCATGGACGAGCTGTTTTTCGACACCAATTTAGTGGATCCGGTTGTAGCAGCCGGAGCGCTGCAGAAGGATGGCGTGCTCTACTTCTCCAACCCTTCCCACTACCAAAACAGTAAGAGACATTAAACGCTTTAACTTCCAGRCTTGTTTATATATAAATGATAGACAGTTAAACTGAGTCAGACTAAAACCAAACACTTTAATCTTTCATAAGGACATAAGAAAACTAACTCTTTTATCACCAACCCATCAGGAGTGAATCTAACGCTACGCTGGTCATTCACAAACGGGAAGTCTTGGGAAAACAAAGCCGTCCAGATATGGGAAGGACCGAGTGCTTATTCCTGCATCACATCGTTCAACAGCGGTTCTGTAGAAGATGAAAAGTACATCTACGCCATCTACGAAAAAGGCCACAAGGACTACTGGGAGACCATCTCCTTCGTTAAGATCCACCTGTTCGGTGGCCAGTAGAGAACCGGATCAGGCATGAGGTAACGGGTCCACCCAAACCAACAAGTCTGACTTTTAATTTGACTCCTTGTCATTTTTAATTTGTGCTTGTCTTTCAGATTTTAACCTTAAATGGAAACAGAAACTGAAGTTTACTTTCAGACCATTGGCTTTTTTTCTGCATAAATCACCCTGAAAACAAAGACTTCACCGTGAATTTCCAGCTCTTTATGTTCGATCGATGGTACCGAAACAATGATTGTGCATCTTTACTTTAAATTATTTTAAATCCAAATTTTAACTTTGTGTTTCTTCTGGTCATTTTTAAACCCTTTGCTTAGAAGAAAAAAACAACTGAAATCAGGAAATTATGCAGAAAAATAAAATAAAAGGATTTGTTTGGACACTACAGTCATGCCATGAACCATATAAGCTTTTAAACGCCCACCCAGAGACATTTAGCCCACTCATGACAGGGAAAGTATTTTTATGATCGCTTAATAAACTCGAGAAGTGCCAACAGTTTAATGTTGCCCTCAAGCTGTGCCTTTGATGTCTTTGTGTTTTGTTTTTGATTACAATATGAGAGGTGGAGTTTATAATCACTCTTTATGCAGACAATATTCGAATCTTTTTAATGAGGTCTCAGTTTGATACAAATATACAAAGTATCCCATTTCCATTTTCTTGCATATTTTGCACTAACACTGTTTGTCCTGCTATCTGTGTATCTGTAATATTTGTCACTTTCTCAGGGAATAAATTAAATTGAGTTMAATCTCAGGTTAAGCTGTTGTAAGAAAAATACGTGTTAATACAAGTGAAGTCAAGATGAAAACACAATTGTTAAATAAAACGATTTGTGTACGGAATAAAGTCATACAACACCAGAATTCTGGAYCTGAGTGAGGTTTATTGTCACCGGGCTGACAAGCTAAACCACACTGACTAAAAATCAGGAAGTACATGTTTTTATACACGATTCTTCAATGCCTGAGTTCGCCCCCTACTGACCTACGGCTGAATCACAGGCATTAATCCAATAAACTCAACCTAATGTTATCATTTGGTTCACTTATGTGTTGTTTATGATTCAGACATGTAACTACTCTATATCAATAAATCACACATAAAAATATTATAAAAAGGAAACCCTAATAATCTAGTGTTTCTAACATCAGTACTAATCTGTAATTACTATGAATTTCTTCACTGTCATGCAAGTCTTTTCCTGCTTTGTGACTGATTTATCTCTGCTGGCCTTTTTCTATTTCTATTTATTTTCAGGATCCATGTATTATTCAAGTACGTATTCATTTAAGAAGCTTTAGTAGCTTTTACACGATGTATGTTCTCTTCTGAATGCAGCAAAGACAGATTTACACAGATCWATGTCCTTTGTTCCTTATTTTTTTAAATGCTTAAACTTTTTACTGTTTTGTCCAGTTTTCTGCACTACTATTTGTAAGGGGTTTTGGTGTGCAATAAAGATWTTTATTTTATTTTAAAGTCCTTAAAAGCACACGTTAGTTATGATTATTTGCTTTTGTTTTGAAAATATTACATGTTCCTGTTTTTAAGGTTGATATTTTTGTTGATAACATAAAGTGAAGTCTAGCAAATGTTATGCATACTTGCTTTTGAAGAAGAATAAAAACAGGAAGTGATTAATAGAGAGACAAAATGAATTTATTTACAAAGACATGTTAACACATGATGGATGTGTAATAAGAGAAGAATCATAAAACAATAAAAAACTAATCATATGTTAGTGTAAAAGGATTTTTTTTTAACTTTAGGAAAATTTTGACAAATAGTGTGCTTGTGTTTATAAAAGTCTATGG